ACTCGGGAGAAACGCAGGGGGCTTTGGGAGTTCAGCCAGGCACTCACCCCGACATCACTCTGATGTTTGCTCCCAGGAGATCGAGGAGGATCGTAAAAAAGCTGAACTGGAGGGCGTCGCCGTGACAGCTCCCCGGAAGGGCCGCTCGCTGGAGAAGGAGAATGTGGCTATTGACGTGGTGAGCCCCACACTGGGGTGGGGGACCTCAGAGGACAGGGAGAGGGAGAGCTGAGACCCGAGAGCCCTCCCCACTGCCCCAGATCTGTGGGTGCCTTCATCCTGGCAGCTGCCCTGGGACGTCCTGGTCTCCTTGCTCCAGTGACTGGAATTTTCCTCCCCGCCTCCCCCCTCTTCCAGGAGAAGAACCAGGGTCCTTTCCGGAGGGCTCCTGGGACCCCTCGGCCCCCGGGGACCCCTCGGCCCCCGGGGACCAGCAGGGGAGGAGGCCGGACTCCCCCCCAGCAGGGGGGCCGGGCAGGCATGGGCCGGGCCTCCCGCACCTGGGAGGACAGTCCTGGGGAGCAGCCTCGAGGAGGAGCTGGTGGCCGCGGCCGGAGGGGCCGGGGCAGAGGGTCCCCTCATCTCTCTGGAGCTGGAGATACCTCCGCTGCCGACCGCAAATCCAAGGTAGGAGCTGGGAAGGGGCCCCCGTTGTTTCTCTCTCTTCCTCTCTCAGATGCACCGTTTGCCTGTTTGTCCATCTTTCTGTGCGTCTCTCTCTCTTTCAGCTCCTCCGTCCGGCTCTTTCTCTCTCTCCCCCTCTTGACCAGTGCCTGTGTGTATGCTCCCTGTCTCTGTTTTCCTTCTTCTTCTTCTTTTTTTTTGCTGTCAGGTGTGTGCTCGCCATCTGACTTCCTTCACCTGTCTCTTTCTTCTCTGTCTTTTTTTAAAAATATATTTTTATTGATTTCAGAGGGGAAGGGAGAGAGAGAGAAACATCAGTGATGAGAGAACCATCGATCAGCTGCCTCCTGTACACTCCACACTGGGGATTGAGCCCGCAACCTGGGCATGTGCCCTTGACCAGAATCAAACCTGGGACCTTTCAGTACGCAGGTCGACGCTCTATCCACTGAGCCAAACCAACTAGGGCTCTTTCTTCTCTTATTGGCTCTGTCTGTCTGTCTCTGATAAACTCTGTGTGTCTGGCAGGCTCTGTCCAGTGCACGTGCTTCCTCTCTTTCTCTAGATTTGTTTGTGGGGAACAGTGACATTCTTACTGTGACTACTGCACTGCCCTGACACTCAGGTTAGCAGGGAGGGAGTAGTGGCTCAGGGGTCACCCTCGTTCTATTTGTTCCCTGTCCTGGGGCAGCTCACTTCCCTCTAGAAGCTTCTGGGTTCTCGCTCTTAACTGGGAAGAACATCTGGTTTAAAGGTTATCAAGCATTCATGCCATCAGGCACTGAAACCCTCAGAGTAAGTGCTCAATGACCTATGGGTGTTTATTATTTTATATGCTAAGCTGCTGTTAACAAAAAGACCCCACTTAAATCAGGTGGCAGTGCATTTCTCTCTTATATGCTGAACCCTGGGAATGAAAACGTCAACTCGAGCAGCTTGGCCATGTGCTTGTATGAAACTCTGTTACCGTGGAGGAGGGGGAGAACGGATTGTGGGGGGTCACCAAGCCATCCGCCAAGTTATTGCTGTCGTCATTTCTGTGGCGACCATGGTGTCTCAGGGTCCCCAACCCCTCCCCCAGGTTCAGTGTTTTGCTAGAAAGATTCCTGACTGAAATATGTTACAGTGAAAGAATTCAAAGCAAAATCAGCTGAAGGGAAAGGCACGTGGGCTGAGAGCTGGAGGAAACCAGCTTGCCCAGTGGGTCACTGCACTCAGTTCCTCAGCATGGCCCTGGCCGGAGCGGCTCAGTTGGTTGAGCGGCATCCCATGCACGGAAGGGTGGCTGGTTTGATTCCCGTCAAGTCACATCCTGGGTTTCAGGCTCAGTCCCTAGGAGGGGGTGTGCAGGAGGCAGGCGATCAATGTTCCTCTCTCACATCGCTGTTTCTCTCCCTCTCTCAAATCGGTAAAATCATATTTTTAAAAATTCCTCAAGCATTGAGGGTCACCTACCAGGGACTCTAATAGAAACCTAGTGCCCAGAGGTTTTTTTTAAAAAAATATTATATTGATTTTTCACAGAGATAGAGAGTTAGAAACATTGATGAGAGAGAAACATCGATCAGCTGCCTCCTGCACACCCCCGACTGGGGATATGCCTGCAACCAAGGTACATGCCCTTGACCGGAATCAAACCTGGGACCCTTCAGTCCGCAGGCCGACGGTATATCCACTGAGCTAAACCGGTCAGGGCTTTTTTTTCTTCTTCTTCAAATATACATATTACTGAAACATCAATGATGAGAGAGAATCATTGATTGGCTGCCTCCTGTACGTCCCCTACTGGGGGGGATTGAGCCCGCAACCCGGGCACGTGCCTGGGACCCTTTAGTTCGTAGGCCGACGCTCTATCCATTGAGCCAAACCAGCTAGGGCCAGGGTTTTTATTGGGGGCTAGCCATGTAGGTCCCCTCTGCTTGGTCTATATCCAGAATCCTGACCCCAATGTGGCGTTCAGCTTACACCATATTGATGGCACAAAAGGCACAGCGAGTCCTCCTTATCAATGAATGTTGACTCGGAACACACTGGAGTCAAATTCCCCAGCCAAGGGCTGGCCTTTAAAGCAGGCCTGTGCTGAGGAGACACTCCGGCCTGTCATGTTAACTCTTCAGCACAAAGCGTTGAGCGGTTGGTTCTTCCTGACACCGGGTGCCTCTGTAACCTGCTCCCCTCTCCCCGCAGGAGTGGGAGGAGCGGCGCAAGCAGAACATCGAGAAGATGAACGAAGAGATGGAGAAGATTGCGGAGTATGAGCGCAACCAGCGGGTCAGTGCCAGGGTGTCCCCGGTGTGAGGCACGGCCGCCAGGCCTGGTGGACCTGCCAACCCCGATCCCTGTGCCCGCAGGAAGGCGTGCTGGAGCCCAACCCGGTGCGGAACTTCCTGGACGACCCCCGGCGGCGCAGCGGGCCCCTGGAGGAGCCGGAGCGGGACCGCCGGGAGGGCAGCCGCAGGCACGGGCGCAACTGGGGGGGCTCGGACTTTGAGCGCGTGCGCTGCGGCCTGGAGCAGGAGCGGCAGGTGGGTGCTGGCAGCGGGGGCACGCTGGGCCAGACACCATTCTGTGGCCAGAATCTCACCTCAGCAAATGGTCCTGGACGTGTGCTGAGCGCCAGGCACAGCAGGGAGTGAGGCAGAGCAGGGAGAGGCAGCGACTGGCTGGCTCTCACCCCAAGTGACCTGCTGGTTCTGTGCCGGGACCACTCTGCTCTCTTTCTCATTCCTGAGTGCCAGGCACTGTCCTAGGTGCTGCAGCCAAGGGTTTGAAACAAGGCAAAGTCCCTGCCCTGAAGACGTTTATTCTGGTGGGAGCTGAATGAATGGGTATATAGGGTGTCTCACAAAACCACACACACTTTGTTTTTTTTTAAAATATATTTTATTGATTTTTTACAGAGAGGAAGGGAGAGAGATAGAGAGTTAGAAACATCGATCAGCTGCCTCCTGCACACCCCCCACTGGGGATGTGCCTGCAACCAAGGTACATGCCCCCGACCGGAATCGAACCCGGGACCCTTGAGTCCGCAGGCTGATGCTCTATCCACTGAGCCAAACCGGCCACGGCACCACACACACTTTGAATGATTATAAAGTTAGTGTTTGTTCACACACAGTTCACTTTCAAAATTTAAAAGAATCTACAGAAATGAATAATATTTTTTTTGTCAATGCCTGTTTTCAAACTGGTGACCATTCTGGTCCAGGCACTGCTTATAACTTGAAGCAGCAGAATCGCAAATATAAAGAATAATTTTGTTCGGTACTTATGCGCCCTCAGTTCGTCAACTGTTGCTGGTGTTGTACTGTAAACTTTATCTTTGATGTATCCTCGTAAAAAAGTCTAGTGGATACATTGTCTTTGTTCAAAGCTTAGTCTGGCTTCACCCATTATTTCAAATCAGTTAAAGGAGTGAAAATCAGGTGAGTTATCAGCTGCTAAAGTGTGTACACACACTTTGAATAATTATAAAGGCAGTGTTTGTACTGCAACTGCGTTTTCAAACTTCCAGTAGCATTTTTGGATGAATTTCCTTTGCTTAAAGCTTAGTCTGGCTGAAAGGAAAGAAACCTCCATTGAGCTACCAGCTGTTAAAGTGTGCTCACATGTTTTTGGGACACCCTGTGTAATGAGATGTCAGGTAACGCAAATGTCACGAAGAAGAATCCAGCAGGGTGAGGGGATGGATCTGGGATGGTCTCTCTGAGGAGGTGCCACCGGAGCAGACCTGGTTCTAATCTCTGCCCTGTCGCCTCCTGTGTGACCTTGAGCAGGTGGCTCTACCTCTGAGTTTGGAGGACGTGGGGTAGAGTGGGCTGGGTGGCACAACAGGGCCCTGACTGCTGTCTGCTGTGGGCAGGGCCGCCGGGCTGGCCTGGGCGGTGCCAGTGACATGACACTCTCCATGACGGGCCGGGAGCGGTCAGAGTACCTGCGCTGGAAGCAGGAGAGGGAGAAGATCGACCAGGAGCGGCTGCAGAGACACCGCAAGCCCACCGGCCAGTGGCGGCGGGAGTGGGATGCTGAGAAGACCGAGGGGATGTGAGTTCGCCCCTGCTTGCCCCTGCTTGGCTCCTTGACCTGGGCCCTGACTGGTGTGCTCCGTGGTTGAGCGTTGGCACTCCTTTGACCGGCTCTGGTTTCTCACCCTGTATCAGTTAGTAAGCGCCATGGCAGTGTGTGTGACCACCAGCTCCCAGGGGCATGGACAAGCCTCCTTTCTCATGTGTTCACGGCTCAGCTGGGTTCAGTGATCCAGGCTGACGTTCAGCTGTGGGTTCGACAGGGCGTGGCTTCTTGAAGCAGGTTGAACTCAGTTCCACTCCATCTATGTGTGTTCATTCTGGGGGTCAGGCTGAGGGGAGCAGAACATGACTGGCAGATAAGCAAGAGGGAGAGTGGATAAACCTCCCCGTTTTATTAGGCAACAGACCTAGCATCTCTGGGGCGGGAACTTAAACTGCCCACTCCAGTGGCGGGTACGGCCGTGACTCCATGGCTAAAGGCGTGGATGTGAATTCTCACGCAGGGAGGGCAGGGAGAACTGCTAACAGTGATTAGACCTTTGCATCCTCCCTTCATCCCTCTAATTTGTATCCCCCAACCCAAACCCCTTATCCCAGTGGCATCATTATCTGACTTTGCCCCCTTCCGGGTCCAGGAAGAACCCCGTTAGTCAAACTTAAAGCGAAGGCATCTTTGCATTATTGACAGGGGGACCAGTTCCATATCACAGATGGCGAGGTTTCTGAAAGAGCTGACAAGTCTTTTTTTAAAAAATATATTTTATTGATTTTTTACAGAGAGGAAGGGAGAGAGATAGTTAGAAACATCGATCAGCTGCCTCCTGCACATCTCCTACTGGGGATGTGCCCGCAACCCAGGTACACGCCCTTGACCGGAATCGAACCCGGGACCCTTCAGTCCGCAGGCTGAAGCTCTATCCACTGAGCCAAACCGGTTTCGGCGAGCTGACAAGTCCTAAGATCAGCAGTTGTTTTTACCCCGTCCTCTGTCCTTTGCTGCGTTGGAAGATTTCACACCTAGAAGTTTTTTTGTTTCGTTTTGATTTCAATCCTCACTTGAGTATATATTTTTTAAATTGATTTTAAAGAGAGAGGAAGGAAGAAAGAAACATCGATTGGTTGCCTTGACTGGGGATCTAAACTGCACCTTTAAAAAAAAAAAAAGTTTTTAGCCCTAGCCGGTTTGGTTCAGTGGATAGAGCGTCGGCTTGTGGACTGAAGGGTTCCAGGTTTGATTCCGGTCAAGGGCACATGCCCGGGTTGCGGGCTCGATCCCCAGTAGGGGGTGTGCAGGAGGCAGCTGATCAGTGATGCTTTCTCATCATTGATGTTTCTATCTTCTTCTCCCGCTCTGAAATAAATAAAAATATTTAAAAAAATGTTTTTACAAATATGTTTTTATTGATTTTTAGGAGATAGGAAGGGAGAGAGATAGAGAGATAGAAACATTGCTGAGAGAAACATCATTGATCGGCTGCCTCCTGCGTGCCCCCTACTGGGGATCAAGCCAGCAACCTGGCCGGGAATTGAACTGGTGACTTCTTGGTTAATGGGCCAATGCTCAACCACTGAGCCACACCAGCCAGGCCACACCTAGAAGTTTTATTGTTGATGCTGGCTTGAGAAAAAAGGGCCCTTATCTGTGGGCCTGGTGGTCAGAGCATTTATTTTTGGATTGGGTGCTAAGGTTGTGCAAGCGCGAGAAATAGTATTTTGTACAGATATTGTCTCTGATCTTTCTAAAGTGTAGGCAGCTGGGCTTTGGGGAGATGTTCTCAGGGGTTAAGAAGGAGAAAGTAATTTTTTTTCTCTTATGTCCCCAAAGCAGCCTGCAACAAGTTTCATTAACCATGTGTGAGTTGACTTTGTCAGCAGATGTTTTTTGAGTCCCTCCTATGTGTCATGGAAGGTTCTAGGTGATGGGGATACAACGGAATAAAACGCTTCTGGCTTCCTGGTACTTAGAGTCCTGTGAGAAAGACGGGTCATGACTAGAGCTAATGTTAGGTCGAGCAGAATCATTGAGCAGAGTGCACAGAGGGATGGAGGCTGTTGTTTTAGATTAGATAATATGTAATAAGATATGATTATCTTAGGTGGGGGTTTAGGGAGGCCTCTGAGCTGAGGTCTGAAGGAGGTGAGGGAACAGGCCCCGGAAAGATCTGGAGGAGCCCTGGCTGGGTAGTTGAGTTGGTTAGAGCGTCATCCTGATCCGCCAAGATTGTGGGTTCAATCTCAGGTCAGGGCCGGTCAGGGCACATACAAGAATCAACCAGCCCGGCCGGTGTTGCTCAGTGGTTAAGCATCGACCTATGAACCAGGAGGCCACCAGTCAATTTCGGTCAGGGCACATGCCCAGGTTGTGGGCTCAGTCCCCAGTGGGGATGGGCGGGAAGCAGCCAATCAATGATTTTTTCTCATCATTGATGTTTGTATTTCCCTCTCCCTTACTCTCTGAAATCAATAAAGAAAATTTAAAAAACAAAACAACAACAACAAAAAAGAGTCAACCAATGAGCCTGGCTGATGTGGTTCACTTGGTTGGGTTGTACTGAGCCCGGGTTGCGGGCTCAAAACAGAAAAAAGGATCAACCCATGTATAGGTAGAACAGCAGATCAATATTTCTCTCTCTCTCTCTCTCAAAAAAAAAAAAAAGACTTGGAGAAGAGTGTCCTGGAGCAGCAGGTAAAGTCCTGAGGCAGGAGCTGCACGTGGCAGGAGAACCTGCTTAGCTGGGCAGGTGACAGGCAGTAACAGGAACTGAGACCAGCAGGAACCTAGGGATCATGTACTTCCCAAATTTTTGTTCCAGGGGGTCAAATACTGAATTTTTTCTTTCTGTATTTGTCATATGATGTCAAATTTGCCACCTGGTCCTGTCCCCCTGCTGATCAGTAACACCCCTCTGGTTGACCATGTCTCCTGCTGTGACCTTGATTTCTGACCCTGGCCTCCATCTCCCTCTTTGTTTGTTTTTATTTTGTTAAACCTCACCTGGAGGACATTTTCTCCACTGATATTTAGAGGGAGTGGAAGGGAGGGAGCGAGGGCAGAGAGAGAGAGACACACACACACATCCATTGGTTGCCTCCTGCATGTGCCCCGACCAGTGCCTGGGGTTGAGCCTGCAACCCCGGTATTTGTCCTTGACCAGGAATCGAACCCATGACCCTTTGGTGCTCAGCCCGACACTAACCACTGAGCACACCGGCCATGGCCCATCTCTCCCTCTTACCTCTTCCGACCTCTCTTGCTTCCACTGTTCCCCCAGCTTCCTGCTCACCCCTTTTCTCTTTCCCCAGGTTCAAGGATGGCCCAGCCGCTGCCCTTGAACCAGCTCACCGCTATGGTGAGTGGGTGTCCCTGGGTGGGGTGAGGCAGCTGGCTGGGCCAGGTGTGGGGGTGGGTGGTTTGTGCTGTGTCCCCCACCCCCGACGACTCCTGGGTTCTGTTGCAGATGACCAGGCCTGGGCCCGGCCCCCCAAGCCACCGACTTTCAGGGAGTTCCTGTCTCAGCGCAAAGCTGAGGTCAGCCGCTGGAGAAGAAGAGCAGCCTGACCCCAGGCCAAGGCAATCGCCCGTGCCTACAGGTAGAGCACCCCTTCCCTGGGCATGTGTAAACCCGGTGGGGCTGGCTGGCCCTATACCCTG